GCATACACCATTTACACCAGTCTGTAAGTTTCTCGTTTGAGAGCCGAAACAGAAGGCCAGGATGTAAGATTGAGGAACAAGGTAGAGGCAGATGTGCTTTCGGAGGAGAATATTACCTTTTGCGATGCACTGGCAGGCGCCTTACTGCAAAGGGGTTGTAAAGCTACGGATATAGCGAACATCACAAACCATTTATACAGACAGCTTAAGATGATGATCTTGAGAAACAACAGAACATACGGCGTCCTGGCCTCCTGCTGCGCTTCTGTCGTATATCGGTTCCCACGGGAGAAGGTCATGGGCTGGGGTTAATTGTTTATGCTCAGCCGGCGTCTAACATTTTTGACTCCACTTCTTAATCTCTATATCTAATGAGGTATCTGTGTCCAGAGGAAAGCGAAGTCATTTCTTTCGTGAGCCTATCATTTAGCCCTCACCGAGGCTAACTTTGCTGCATGCGGTTTAACCGCCGGTGTTGCTCCTATGTTAGAACAACTGTTTTCATGCCGTATGACAAAGCGAACCTGATAGGGAAGGATTTTTGCGGAAAGATATGTTCCTTTATCAGTCAAAATATTAGACAGATCAAAACAACCGTTTCTTACGGAATCTGAACGAATGACAATGCCCTACTGGCGACATTGGTCCTAGGAATGGAGGCCTCACACAATCCTTATCACTTCTTCAAACTTGTCCATGTTTGCATGGATTTTGTTTTATTGTAGATCTGTGATTTCAGCCATGTTGCGCATTCTGAAAGATTTTCATAGCTACAGGCAAATACACCTTGATATTTTCGGATTGTAATTTTGCCTTTCTTCTTTCATTGTATGCCTATTTCTGTTCTTACTCTATTTTCTCTACTATTAACTGTTTTCTTTATGATCGTGTTCTGTTTTTTGTTTCTGTTAAGTTTACTGAGTGTGACTTTCAAAAGTGCTGCGTTAGGTTGTAACGTTTTAAAGTTCTCTACTAGCTGTGACATTCGCGTTTACCGAGTCATCTCGACTATCATCACTCTTCCATCGTGCTGTGTCGCGTTTATTCTTTTTATCTAATGTACTATTTAACGCAAATTTATGCTTGCTTAAAGAAATGGCTTTCTGTTTTGATTTTGCTGACAGAAGAAATTTAAACTTCTCATATATAAAATGAGGCATAATTACTGTTATGCTACTGCTATCAAATTGCTTGACCGGCAGTAATTGATTATTGATGATCATACTGTAGTCATTTTGACGCTGATAGTGATGATGAATCGGAAAGTGCCATTGTTGGATAGCATCCGAAGAATATTGGGGTTATATTTTGACGAAGCATAAGAAGTTTATGTGTCTTACCGTTTACTGATCCAATGCTAATTTCAAAACTTCGTTCAGAGTGCATCGAGCTGAAATATGAATGCAATGACGACCCGTGCGGCGCTGTGAAACCAATTAATTCATGCCTTTTTTTCGCGTCTCGTTGCTACGTGCACCTTTCTTTGTAAGGGCATGGCAAAGAGGCGAATAAGGAGTTGAGTTCACGGCTGTTCAAGCAGACGCCGAGGCTACTTTGATTGTTCGCATCTTTCTATAAAGATCGCATGTAAACTAGGAGAACCGAGTCAGGAGTTGCAAGAAACGTTCGATTACCGATCTGGGAGTCGCTACCAAGCAAACATGATGTCCGCCATCC